CCCAAAGCCCCAGCTCAGCTCGGGACATCAAACATCTGAAACCACATGCAACAGAACAGCAAGACAAACCAACACAACCTTAGACTTAAACCACACCATATTTCTCTGCAACACCTGACCATAAGCTGCTTTAAGAGAAAGGAGAGACAGTCAGTACTTACCAGCCAGGCTGTTGCTCTCAGCCCCAAGCGCCTTTGTTCCTGCTGAAGACATAAATCTGAAAAACAGGGCCCTGATTTTACAATTTTAATTTGAATAAAAGGCTGCATAATTTCCTCAAACAGCTGGGCACTGCAGTGTCTGGCAAACATTACTCAAATAGGAGTTAACAGTGTATTTGTTAAGGACAATTTGCATGTCACATGTGGTGCTACACTGTGGGTCACTGATGTGTTTTTAATAGTTTTTGGAAAACAATAAAGCTCAGAGGAATAAACTATATCCGTGTTTGGCTACACAGGCAATACTTGTGAGTTGGATCAATTCATGGTTGGTTTTTAGGTTTGAATTAGGTTGTTTGACAATAATCTACAATACCACTAAACAAGTCCTTTTAAGTAATGTAAAGGAAGGTATTAATCATGTTACAGAGTATTTTAAGACCGTGGGATTTCTACTTCTACTTAAGTAAAGGAGCCAAGTACTTCTGGTGCCACTACTAAACACAAAGTACACTTGAGTCTGATGGGAATGTCATTTGTTTTGCAACTCATTCGGACAAATAAAAACTTTCACCTGATGATGCTGTTAGATCAAAAGTAAGGGGATCAGCAAAGTTATACAGTTCACCCTAAAGGGGATGTGAATGTGTGCTCCAAATTTTAATGGCATTTTATCCAATAGTTGTTGAGACGTTTCACTCAAAAGTCAGAGCATCACCAAAGCCATTAGGGTTCATCCACCCTGGAGCATGAATGTGTCAAACTTTGCGCCTATCCATCCAGTAGATGTTCACATATTTTACAGGGTAAGTGTAAACTTTAACCTGCTGGTGGCGCTAAAGAAAAAGTCAGATGATTACAGAAGTCACAAGGGTTCATCCTCAGAGGAACCTGAATAGTTGTATCAAATTTTAAAGGACTAAGTTGAATAGTTGTTGAGATATTTCACTTACAGCCAAACATGACAACCTCATAGTCGCTCTAGAATGCAAGTCAGGGGATGACCAAAGTCATTAGGATTCATCCTCTGGGGAACATCACTGTATCAAATTTTGTGCTAATCCATCCAGTAGATATTGAAGTATTTCATAAGATATTTTAAAATTTTAACCAGCTTGTTGCGCTAGAGAAAAGGTCAGATGATCACTACAGTTACAAGGATTCATCCTCCGGGGAACATGAATAGCTGTACCAAATTTCATGGCAATCAATCAAATAGTTGTTGTAATATTTCACTAAAAGCCAAACTTGTGAATCTCATAGTGGCTCTACAGGGAAAGGTTGGGTATCACCAAAGTCAGTAAGATTCAGGGGAAGTCAGGGGAACATGAAGGTATCAGATTCGCTGTTGTTGAAATATTTCACTAAAGCCAAACATGTCAACCTCGTAGTGACAATGGGGAAAGTCAGTTTCACCAAAGTCATTGCAGTCAATCCTCTGGGGAACATGAAAATTTGTACAAAATTTCATGACTATCAATTAAATCGTTTTTGGGATATTTCATTCATAGTAGCATTAGAAGGGAAGTCTGAGGATCACTAAAGTAACCAGGGTTCATCCTCTGGAGAACATAAATAGCTGTACCAAATTTCATGACAATTAGTAAAATAGTTGTTGAGACATTTCACTAAAAGCCAAACACATCTACCTTATAGTGGTGCCAGAGGGAAAGGCAGGGTATCACCACAGTCATCAATATTCGTCCTCAGGGGAACATGAATGTATCAAATTTTGCATCAATCCATACTTCACAAGATAATTGAAAGTTTGATCTTGCTAGTGGTGCTAGAAATAAAGTCAGATGGTCACTTATGTTATGAGTATTCATCCTCTGGGGAACCTGAATAGCTGTACCTAATCCATGGCAATCAAATAGCTGTTGAGATATTTCACTAAAAGCCAGCCATGTCAACCTTATAATGACAATGGGGAAAGTCAGGATCACCAAAGTCATTACAGTCAATCATCTGGGGAACATGAATATTCGTACAAGATTTTTTGACTATCAATCGAATACTTGTTGGAATATTTCATTCACAATGGCAGAGGGATATTCAGAGGATCACCACAGTCATTTGGGTTCATCATCTGGGGAACATAAATAGCGGTACAACCAATCCATATCCCATAAGATAGGTGAAAATTTGAACCTGCTGGTGGTGCTAGAAAAAATGTCAGATGGTCACTAAAGTTACAAGTGTTCATCCTCTGGGGAACCTGACCTGCTGTACCAAATTCCATGGCAATCAGTTAAATTATTGTTGAGATATTTCACTAAAAACCAAACATGGCAATCTCATAGTGGCTCCATGACAAAAGAGAGATCATCACCAAAGTCATAAGGACTCATCCTCTGGGGAACATGAATATTTGTACAAAATTTCACAACAATCTTGTAAAGCAATGAACACACAGACGGACATTCCCGTGTATAAAATGGCAGAGCATGCAACAGCACAGAAACAGAAAACCCTCCTCAGACTGAGCTGCTGTTCTCAGAGATCTGTGAAGCTCAACAACACAGGACTCAGTGGGTGGTAAAGCCAACCTGCTGTCGCCTCATCAGTATGGATAAATGGATCTGCTTCTTCCGGAAGAGCAGGAGAGCTTTCACAGTTCCATGAAATAAGAGAGTTCTTCTAAGAACATTCTAACTTGTGTCTGCAGTCCCAAGTCAACACACACAGGTTCACACGCCTCACACACGCACACACACACAGTAAATTCACAGTGAGTCTTCATGGGTCTTTGTAAATGTAATAACCACACAGCAGCAGCAAAGTGCCTGAGACCTGCAACATAATTATGTTTGCTGAAAGCTGAGGAGATTTGTTGACCTTTAAAGTGTTGTTACTGCATCGTATCGGATATCACAGCAAATTAAAATCAGTTTGTGTATCTTACAGAGCTCATGAGGTTTTTTAAATTAACTTGTGTGAAGTTAAATCTCTCGAGAGGCGACTTTATTTCTGCTAATTGAAATATTCACACAGCCTTTGCTACTGCAGATTCCTCTTCGGTTCGTGTCCTTTGTGAGACCTCAGAGCTCCTGCAGCAGACAGTGTCGGTGTCTACAGTCTGACTGTTGATGCAGCTGAGGCACACTGACGTGGTCGAATGTGGCTGGAGGCGACTGGAGTCACTAAATGATCCATTTGCCCTGTTGTGTTTTTTTAAACTCAGGATCATCTGCTCAGTGTTTATTTACTCACACTTAACTTTCTCCTGCTGCCTGAGCTGTACTCCTCAGTTACGACCTTTCAATACTGAGCAGAAGGATTATTTAACTCACCTAAGCCTGTTTGTCGCTGCACTACAGTCATACAAGGTGTAATGTTAAGCCAGGAGATGCTCAAATTAAAAAATGTCTCCTTGCTTTGACAGTTTCCACTGTCCAACAGAATTTACATACAGCTCTCCAAACACCTGCACAATTATATGTAGATGTTGAAAAAGCTTAAGTTTTGCAAGATAATAAGCTCACTTTGGTCTTGACTGCATTTACCAGCCAACTAAATCAAACCTCAGTGGGTGGCAGCACCATAAACATGTCAGACTAACACCAGATAGTAAACTGTAAAATGACTGAAAAGCAAACTTCAGTCCCTAAATGCCTTTAAAAGACTCCACAGGCTTTGCATTCAGATTTTGCAAGTTTATAATGATGCTCCTGGCACAGGCATTTTTTTTAAATGAGACAAGTTCCCTCCATCCTCTACATAAGGTAAAGGCAGTGGTGAAATTAAATTAAGTACATTTACGCATGTACTGTACCTAAGTGAAGTTTCGAGATACTTGTACTTTACTTAAGCACATTTTTTTGGCATATTTTATTATTTTCTGTTATACTTTTTCACTCTGACAATTGCATTTGACAGCCATAGTTACAAGTTACTGCTGATTAAAAAATACAAAGAAAATATTGGAGTTTATTAAAAAAGAATGCATTATATTCCATAAACTAGTTAAAAATTTGATCCACATTGACCAGCGTCAAGACTAAAATCCGACTAACACATTAATGCATAAGTAATATTAATGTAAAATCCAATTACCGTCTGCAAAAAGAGTACTTTTACTTTTTATATAGGCTATTTCACTGCTAACAGGTATGTACTTCTCAAGTACGATCTTTAATGTCTTAGATTTTGATATGAGTCCAAAACCGGTCCCAAGGAGATACTCCTCTCTCCTGATCACCATTAATTCTACTGAGCATACATTCATAAGATGCAATTTCCACCATTGCATGAACCCAATCTTTCAGTTCTGGGGCCTTTGCTGTCTTCCAGTGTCTTACAGTAACTGAACAGACAACTTTGAATTTAAAGAGATTTCTGAACCAAACCAACAGCTTAAAATTTCTAGTAGTCTAACCTAGAGTGGTCTGACCAAACAGGACTTTCACTTTTAATGGAGTATTTTTTTACTATGTTGTTTTACTAACTTTATCTTAATATTTCTTCCACCACTGAATTCAGGTATAACTTTTTGCTATACTAAGTCTTGTCATACACAGTCTGTTACAATCTATAAATCAAATAGAATCTACAATGGCTTCAAAACTTGTAAATAATGACACAAAAAATGCCAAAAGAAAAGGTGCTACTGTTTAATAGTTCTGCAGTTTAAACCACTTTATCCATTAATGTATCACTGTAATATTCATGTGAAATTATTGTGTATTTGTGCTTTATAAGAATTTGGCTTGTTTATGCTGAGTTCCTATTTGTGAGTCTCCATTGGAGAGGTTACTGTAACACTGTGGGCTGCAGGCAGCTCCTCCCATCCTGCTATAAGAGCCCAGCTGACCAGGTAGTCAGCGTCCATCCCTAAAATAGGCCAGTTCAAACTGACTTTAAGAAAAGTCGGTCAGCTTTATTAAAAACCTCTTTTTCTTCACAGGTGGTTACACGCAGCCTTTGTGCCATACTGAGATGTAGGATTGGACCCTGAGTTTGTTTTCGGTCTGATCTAACAGAGGATTTGGAGCCGGAACATTTTGAAGATGACTTTCGCCATGCTGCGGCCTGTGGCGACACACTTGATCTACTCAGACTTCACCATCACGTCTGAGGATGATGAAAACCGCAGCGAGAGCGACGGCAGCTCGGAGCAAAGTTACTGCGGCTCCACAGTGAAACGAAGGAGGATTTCGCGCAAACTGGAGGGAGAGCCCCCGGTGGTGGTGAAACAGAGGAGCGCGGCTAACGCCAGGGAGAGAGGCAGGACCCAGAGTGTCAACACCGCGTTCACAGCTCTTCGGACTCTCATACCCACCGAGCCGGTGGACAGAAAGCTCTCCAAGATTGAAACGCTCCGACTGGCATCCAGCTACATTTCCCATCTGGCCAACGTGCTCCTGCTCGGAGACGGCGGCGCTGATGGACAGCCCTGCCTCGGCGCGGTTCATGCGCAAGGAGAGAGCGGGGCGCAGCAGCCGCGGACCATCTGCACCTTCTGTTTGAGCAACCAGAGGAAAGGGGTAAATGCTGTTTTACTCTGTATTCATAGTCAAAGCGGGTTAAAACCAAGCGCAGCTTAAATACAACTGATGTGTTAAATCTGCGAAAATTATCAAAGTGACAGGAAAACATTAAACCACAGCCCAAATACTTTTTTATTTTTGTCTCGATCATGCTTTTTCGGGAAGCCTTCGACTCATGCAGCATCTGTTTATCTTTCAATGGTAACCACTTTTGTGTAAATCCATTATTTTGTTTTGGAATGTGTGCGTAAAAGGCGCTTTTACGCACGGCACATGTCTTGGCGCTCGCTGTAAATTCCTCAGTCAGCCACAGATGTTTTTTTATTTTTGACCACTGTGAGGACTTCACTGCAGTGCAAAACATAATATGATACAGTACAACATAATTACTAGCTTCCTGAATTTGGACATTAATGTGACATCACACAGTGACGCTAAAAAATGTTGTTGATTTGTAGGAAATTAACATGAATTATGTCTTTATTTGCCTAAAAATTACAATGACTTCTGGTGCAATTAAAGTAAATATTGTTGAATCTTTATATGACTGAGACATTTCTTTTTTTGTTACAGATTAAGGATGGAAAAGACTGTTTAAAAATGCGAGGGCTGGGTCCGCTGCGAATGAGACGCTGACTGAAGACCAGTGAATGATTAGCAACCTGAAAATCCTCAAAGACTTTCTCAGGGAAGAGTCAAAGCTGGTGTTACATATCACACACACACACACACACACACACACACACACACACACACACACACACATGCTGGATCAAATGATGGAACCAAAGAAGGGGCTATTTATACTTGACTGGGAAATTTAAGCATAAGCCTTTCAGAGATGCAGTGCATTTGTTTGAAAACTTATGAGTTCTTGTTCTTTTTTATTATTTTTTTTACCCCTCAAAAAGTTTAAATAAAATATATTTTATCAAAATAAAAGCCGTTATTTTCCTGATTCCCAGGTTTGTCCTATGACAAGAAGAAATACACCAGTGAAAACAAGCTGTCAAACTGAAAGGAGTCAGTCATGTCAAAATATATTTCAGATTGTGGTGATGGGTAGGACACTGTTGTAAAACTAAATACATGCAGAGGTAATGGCTGAAACTGGCAATAGAAAATTAATTTTTATTTTTATTTTATTTTAAAGGGTGCTTTTATTGTACAAAAAAAAGCTCAACTGCAGTTTGGAAAATTACATAAATGACAAAATTGAAATTGAATTTCTAAGGAAGAAAGAAGAAACTTTATTTGTTTGACACCTAAATGCTGAATTAACAAACTATATTTATCCTCAGCTCCTTTTGCAATATATTTTTTTTATGACCGATTTAGTGGTATTGAATGTCTTTATGGAAATATGTCTGAAACACACACACACTTTCCACTGTTTCCAGTAACGTTGCCAGGACGGTGTTTATGAAACCCACAGAGCCTCAGCAAAGGTTCAAGGTTTCTGGTGTCAGTGACTGGTGTATTCTTTTCCAGAACTCACGATTGGTGTTTTTTTGAAGTCTGTTATCGATTAGTCACGGCAAATAGTAGCCCACACTCTGCTCGGAGCCCCCAACACAGCTGTTGGTATGTCAGAGGGATAAATCACTGCTGTGGGCCCAATGGACGGGGAGAGATGGGGTGAGAGGTCAGAGGTCACGGTGGAGCGCAGAAGCGGAGCCCTGCTGACGTGTAATCATGTCAAATGACGCAAATATAATGTCGATCCCAAAAATAACTTCCTGTGATTTTACTTTTTTTTTTTTATGAGTGGATTAGTTCACGTGTCAGCACATGTTGAGGACTCACCCTGAATCTGATACTCAGGCTGTTAACCACCACTGTCATCATAGTAGAATTTTACTGTCTTATTTATTTTCTTACAATCAGCTGCAAATATTTGTTGATTTTATAGTTTCATATTCTTTTGCAACACGGTCACTGCAACACTGTTAAATTCAGATCTCTTTCATTGCAACCCAACCAGCAGAATAAATGTTGGCTTTGTACGTTTCTGCAATCCATGGATATGTTACATTTGTGTGTTTCATATGTAGCTGATAAATGTTGAAACTTAACATTTCCTTACATTTCAGTTTTATTTTGTGACAACACACTGGTTATGGCTGCAACTCATGATTATTTTCATTTTTAACTTTTATTCCAATTATTTTTACAATAAATTGATTAATTGTTAAGTCTATAAAATGTCCAAAAAATGGAGGAGAAAAAAAGCTGAACACACTTTCCCAGAACCCAAGTGACGACTTCAGTTTGCTTCTTTTTTCCAACCAACAGTCCAAAACTGAAAGACTCTTCATTTACTATTATAAATGACAAAGAAAGGCAGCAAAGTTTTGACATTTTATGTTTGAAAAATCACTGAAATGATTAACTGATTATCAAAATAGTTTATTTCGACCAAATTAATGAATCGACTAATTGTTGTAGCTCAAGCTGTGGTAAATGTGTGGATGTTTGAGCACAAAAAACACTTGGTAAGGGGACAGGAAAAAAAATGTTTTGGTTTTAAAAACCTAGTTTGGTTGGCACAAATATGGCTGGAAATGTCCCAGCGTTTTATCAAAAATAACCACTGATGTTTGTTGGTCTTGAACTGTGGTCTGCTTTGTTAGGGTTAGGTAAAGATCATGGCTTGGCAAAAACACGACTGGAAATGTCCCGACCTCTCTAAAAAAATACCCAGTTTGGCAAAAACATGGCTGTAGCTTCCTGCTAATAAATACCCCATTGAGTCGGCACAAACTTGGCTAGAAACGTCCCGACCTTTTGTTGAAGACACCCATGTTAAATGTTTCTCTGTTTTGTTAAAAATATATCTGCTTTTGCTGGTCTCAAACTGTGTGATGTCTGCTGATGTCTCCTGTTTGGTGGCCCACTCGCCTTGGTGTCACACCATCCACCATCCCTTCCTCCTGATGAGAAACTCAGCTCATAATCAGAACTTCTTAACTTTAGAGGCAATACCATACATATGAAACACAAATGATACATATCTGTAGTTTGCAGAAATGTAAATGCAAACATGTTATTCTGGTGACTGAGCTCTTCACTGGGAAACATTTCATAACTGCAGCCCAGTCTCTGTGGACCTCTCTCTGTCTTCGGTCTGAAAAAGACGCTGTAGTAATCGGTCCAACAGGCGGATTGCAGCTCAGACACACAGACAGCTGAGCCCAAGTTCCTGTCTGGCATCGCTTTGAATCATGCTGCAAACTCAGTCCTCAGAATGACAGAGGGAGGCTCCCCGGCGACACAGGAGGCTGTATGGAAAGTGAATTTTAAGGCAGTTAAAGGTGCATGCTGGGGGTCCGAGCTCCCCACCACCACCCCTCCCCCATCTGCCCTGTCAGGCTAATTGGAATTTGCTGTGCTAAGTCCTCCATGCTCAGGGCCCCGGGGCCTCCTCAAATGGCTCCCAGAGGCTCCCCCCGGCAGGAAGATGTCACGGAGGCACAGGAAGGAAAAACAACGCACAGCCGACCTCTCCGAGGAACTCTCTGTGCGGCGGGCTTTGGGTCAGTGCCAGTCTTGACTTCATCCGGTGCTGAGACCCAGATGTACAGCTCTCTGGTGGTGCTCCTCAGTATGAGCACACCAAATACTGAGTTTTCAACCAATTCGGAAGTAGACAGGTTTTTTATGTTTTTGTTTTTTTTTGCCTCAAGATGACAGGTAACAAATTGATGGCGGAGAGCATCAGAGGAGAGGAGGGAAAAATAAGGTCAGTGAGGATCTGTTTAACATGTCTGACAGGCGAGGATCCACCTGGGGACCACTGCAAAGGTTTACTACTTCGCTTTGGTGAGTTTTTCCCTCTTCCTCGGACGCTCGCATCTCTTAATCCCAAAAGAGGTTTTGTGCAGGAAGAATTTCAGCGGAGATGAAATGAAGCTAGACGGCAGTTCCTCCTCCTGCTGCCAGTTTTATGACCTGACATGAAAAATGACCTCGACTGTCTGAAAGATAGAAAAAAAACAAGAATAAAACACTTGTTGCTTCACTTCAATTATCTTTTTCTGCTATTTTATGCCATGTCTTTGAAGGATGAAGCCTGAACTCACCCTTTAATTTTACATAAATAAACACAGAGCACAGAAACAAAGAGGAGACGGAGAGAGATGCTTTTCGTTTCCATCGTGTGCTGCACAGTAAAAATTGCTGGGTTATAAATATAACACCAGAGCAACACTGGGTTAACTTTACTCAACACCAATTGGTTGTTTTGACCCAGTGTTAGTGTTTCTTTTGTTGTTGTTTTTTTTTATGACGGTTATTTACCCAAACTAAAATATAGTTATTAAATATAATTATTTTGGCCTGATGTTAAAAAACAAACTCAAATTTTACCTTTAAAACTTTCAGAAATTTACTGTCAGCTGTACCTGTGACATTAAAAGCTCCAAAAAATCTGTAGCAAATAGTGATATGTAAGCAGACATGTAAGTTCTGTACTTAAGTTAAGTTTTAGGCTACTTGATTATTCCTATTGTATACTGATTTGTAATTCGATTCCACATTTCAGAGGGACATGTTTTACTTTTCTCTGCACTACTTTTTTTTACACTTAGAGTTACTTTTTACATCTAAAAAAATTGAGTACATGTTTAAGATATGATTCAGTACTTGACTACTAATCAGTGATGGAGTCTAACTGAGTACATTTACTAAAGTACCTCACATAAGTACAAATTCGAGATACTGTACTTGAGTATTTGCATTTTCTGTTATTTGCACTACTCCCCTATATCTCAGAGGAAAAATATTGTACCTTTTACTCCACTACACTGGTGACAGCTGTCTCTCTCATTTTAAATGTTTGTGATAAACTGAAGAATGAAGTGTTCCTTTATAGGCTGAAAAAAAATATCCTGTTTCTTCAAATAAATAAACTCTTCAAAACCCTCTTTGATCAGCTGGAAAATGCATCATCACAAAGATAAAACCGGTGTTTTTCTGACAATATTAAAAGTTTTTAGAGATACCTGGTTCTCACAGGACAGCGACGCTTCAAACATACGATGATCTTATAGAATATGATGCATTGCTGCAGATTAAACTACCCAGCAATTTATAAAGGAGTTAAAATTAGCACAACTTTAAACATCTGCAGGCATAAAATGCAGCAGTGCAGCAGTAATGTTAATTCATAAACATCAGATGTAATAGTAAAACACTGACAGGGAAAGTTTTACTTTATTGTGGTTAGGGTTTGAATGCAGGACTTTTACTTGTTGTGGATTATTTTCACAGTGTAATTATTTTGTTGAAGTAAAGAATCTGAATAACCTTCCACCACAGTTAATGATCTACGAAGTCGTTTACTATATATATATTTTTTTAGAGATTTACCAGAATAATGGTATACTTCTACTCCACTATATTTCTATATTTTATAGGTACATTTGGCAAATAATACAGGGCTTTTACATTATTGTATTGGTACTTCTACTTAAGTAAAATATCTTACAGGTTCTGTACGCAACATGTAATGCATTAATATAGCAAAAAATAGCCCGGCACTATTTGCTATGTAAAGATATAGTGGAGTAATGCTGTCCTGAGCAGAGAATGAAGTCATGGTAACACAGCATATCCTAGCTGTACAGGAGGATGTTATAATAAAGTGACACTAATTAAATATAATAAAATATTACACAATGTAACTAAGGAAAACACCCCCTGGATTATTACTCCCACTTACGGTGGTAGGAAGTTAGGGCTCGTACCAATGGATACACGGGCGGCCACATGTGCATGTAAGTGAATGTGTCTAGTTTATCGCTGCTGCTTTGCACTGTCCTCATACGGCAGTGACTGCTGATATCGGGATGGCATCGTGGCAGAAGTGTCCACTCTCCGGTTCCCCCAGTGAACACCGTTAGCTCTGTCAGTGCTGTTGCCGCTGTTTAGCACTGTTTATAGCGTTAGCACCATTAGCTGTTAGGCGCTAGCTCAGCCACCTCTATGTCAACTCGGTGTCATTCTGAAGTCGTTGAATACCAGTGCTTGGGCAGTGACTTCCGCCATCACACACTGTTGAAAAAAGCCATCTTTTCACTTTGGCGTGATACACGGGCGGTTGCCATTAATGTGGAATGGCGCTTGGCAGCCTCAGGGGAAATGCAACGGGTGGTTGGGTGCAACAACCACTGACTTTCACCCCACCTGTGTTTGCTTCCTGTCAGAATGAAAAGTCAATCCTTGTTATTTCTTTCTAAACCTAACCATGCGCTTTTGTTGCTTAAACCTAACCACATGCGTGTGCTGTCTCAATGTAACCATGTGTGTTTGTTGAAGAAAAACATGTCAACTTGAAAGGACAGACACAGGAAATGTCCACGCTCAGCAGTCAGACAGGAGTCAGGTTAATTTCCAGGGCTGGTACCTGCGGTTATTCCACAGGCTAGTTAATAACATGTCGGGCAGGAAATCTAAAGTGTGGGATCATTTTGAGAAGGTGAAGGACTAACCCAGGGTGATATGTAAACTCATCTTCATTGGTCGACTACAAACATGACGTATCATCTGAAACATGGAAGTAGCTACATGCCCATTAGCCCACAGCGTCATTAACAGGCGGCTCGCTCAGTGTGTGACGTGCACTTGTAGATAAAATATAGGCCTATATTAATGAAGGGTCATTAGTACAGTTTTGTATTTCTCTGTAATGCAGCACAGTGTTAACAATGTTACTGATACTATTCTTTCTCACACTTTCAACTCAAACCATTGTGTTGCCCTGCCCAAAATATATAAGTTAATAATCAAATTAATATCTTAAACATGCAAGTGGGTAGTCGACTAATGGCCCTAAATGACGACTATTGGTCGACTCGGAAATGTCTTAGAAGGGGCAGCCCAAACTGCTACGATCTGAATTTCTCTTAGAGCCCCTTTAAAATTCACCACTTCATGTACGTTTAAAAAGAGCTACAGTAGTTTATAACAGTTCAGAGCCATCCCCTATTTCAGTTTGTTTAAATAACCCAGCAGTAATA